CTGGGCTAAAATAAATAAATTATAGTAACACTAGATCGACACACCGCCCGAGATGATCAGTAGCCTTGCATTGTAACCAAAGATAGTACAGCCTACCGTAGGGTGTAGTATCTTTGTTGTAACCAATGTAAACTACCGCTCGCTCAGCGAGCCAATCACAATCCAACATTTTGGGGTCCACCTAGACACCATGACTACGTAGACCCCAATCGTGGAGTACGTAGACACTTCCCCTAAAAAAATACATGCCAACTACAAAAGCGACCCACCAAGTCCTTGGCCGAAAATTGCACATCCTCTCAACATTTAACGATACAGGAGGAGGGAATAAAGTATGGTTAAGTAATGAGTTTGGTTGTTCGAGTTATGAAACAGAAATAGCAGAGAAGAAGAAAAAAAGTAGGACGTAAACAGTAACACCCCAACCATCCGCACAAATTGTCTGACATGATATTTGATTTAAAATATTGACAAATCGGTAATTCTTTGTTTTCCTCTTTTTTCTTTTTAAAAAAATTCTTGACAACTCAGTCTAAGCAGACAGACCCAAGCCACCTTCTGAGCAACTTGGAGGAGGTCAAGACCTCAGACGCCGACGGAATCACGGGGGCTCCAGTCCCCGCGCCAGTAACTGAGGCCAACAATGCCACAGCCCAAGTTGAGTTGAGTCCGCCAGTCCTTGTTGCTCAAACAGATCCGCCTATAGCGATAACAGACTTCCCGCTCCTCCATGTGTTCGAACCGCCAGTCGGCCCTCGGTGGATGGGTCTCCCGCTGCCACTATGTCCTCACGAGTCTTGCTACGGCCGCTGCGATGAAAAGGGGAACTCGGCGGCGGACTATATTACAGCTCGTGGGTTGGACAGACGCGACAGGCCGCCCTCCTGCATGTGTGACGCTCAGTGTCACGTGATAGGCGACTGCTGCCGTGATGCGTTCTCCGTGTGTCGAGGCGCCAAGTCGCCCTCCTTGGTTCTGCAGACGACAGTCTCGCCCCGCCTGCCCCCTCTCTGGGACTCCAGGCTTGGCCTACAGAACCACGCTCTTTTCTACAATCTCTACGGATCCTGTGTGGCCACAACCTTCAGGCTAGGCGCAGAGATCGAGAATCTTTGGATGTGGCTGGTGTCCAGGTGTCCGGACAACTTCCATGACGTCACCATGGACAATATCAGGGGTCAGTGTGAGAACGGTCCCCAGCGAAAAGTTTTCTCTCACCCCGTGTCCATCAAGTGGTCCCAAACTCTTCATTTTAAGAACATTTTCTGCGCCATATGCCATGGGATCAACTTTAGAGATCTTATGTTTTGGTCAGTGGAAGTCAACTGTCCTCTCCCAATCAGCCCAGACATGCCTTTCTCAGTCAAAGACTTCCTGGACATCCTCGGCGGCTTTCGGGATTGTCAAAACTATCAATTTCCTCGAATTCCAGACTTCGCCATCCCTAGACATTGCAAGGCTGTTTCTCACCCCCGCCATTGTTCTTTACAGGACCATGACGTAAACAATCTAAATACGATACCTAATCCTCCGGAAGTAGATAATGACGCTTCATTTGACGTGTACGCTCATGCGCGGCAACTGTGTCACGCCTACAGCAGTAGGGTCAGCATTGGCGGGCGAGGCTACGAAAACCCTCACTGCTTCATCTGTAACAATGGAAGTGTAGAAGACGTCCCGGAGCGCTATCTCTGTGGGTTCCAAATGTTTTCAGCCATTCATTTAGCCCCGCTGTTCAACCTCACCGCACTGTTGGACTTTGTCGATGGAAACCTACAAGTGGAAACGGTTGGTGATCCCCGCAAGCATGTGCTGAGACCCTCAAACTACTGCGACATAGACGACCCCATCAACGTATTTCTCTCATCGTGTTTGCCCCGGACTTGTCTGCCGTGGGACAAGAAGGAGGTCTTTGCCAACTCGACGGATCGGGAGAAACAGTGCGCCCTTATATCATACCTGTAAGACTGTGTTTTTGTTGTTATTGCTATCGTTATTGTTATCATCATCATCATCATCATCATCATCATCATCATCATCATCATCATCATCATCAAGGAAATGAGGCAGCAGACCAAGCTGCTAATGAAGCCAGAGAGATTGAAGGAAACAGACGACCAACAACATACAGAGGAGTCTTTCCAATGGTCAAGAGGGAAATCAGAGACCCACCATGTAGAACTAAGTACCAGCACCTGGAAGATGTGTATTCTGGGTACTCCTATAAGCGTGAACTAAAGGCTATCACATGTCGCTGGGACCAGGTTGAGCTAGCGAGACTGCGGTCGGACCATCATTGGAGTTTAAGATGGTAGAAGAACTTTGTAAATGAAGAGGTCAGCCCATGTTGTCGAAGATGTAGCCATGAAAAGGAGGATATCGAACATATGTTTGAATGTCCAGGAACAATGGCAATTCGAATGGAGTTATTTGGACGACTGGAGGTGCCGCTAAGCATATTGACAATGGAGCCGAAAAAGAGGAAACAAAACAAAATCATCATCATCATCATCATCATCATCATCATCATCATCATCATCATCATCATCATCATCATCATCATCATCATTATCATCATCATTATCATCATCATCATCATCATCATCATCATCATCATCATCATCATCATCATCATCATCATCAAAAACAACATCATCATTATTATTATTATTATTATTATTATTATTATTATTATTATTATTATTATTATTATAATTATCATCATTATTATTACTATTATTATTATTAAATCATTATCGTCACAATTATCATGATTATGTGTGTTGTAACAATTACTGTTTTTTACTATTGTTTTATTGTTCTGAACATGAATAATATTACTATTATCACTTTGTTGTGAAGGCAAAATAACCCTCTGAGATTAATTTATCAATGTATTGGTATATTGTGACCCCCCCCCCCCCCCCTCCGAAAAAACACAAAAAAAAAACCACCCCCCCCTCCACATATAAAAAGCAATAACAGCAATACTCCAGTTTTAAGGTTCAGATATGAACCAATTGGCACTTGACGTAGAAGGATAATTATATCCCTGCGCTATCACCCCCCCCCCCCTCCTCTTCCCCTCAGATACACCGGCCCGTCTCCCCTCGCCCTGTCCAATACGACTTCACGAGGCCGCCCCGTCCTCTGGGTGGCCATCACCTTCAGGAGCGTCAGCGTCAGCCTCGTGGACATGTTCCAGAGACTCCAGGAGTCCTTCAGTCATGTGACACAGCACTTCTCCACGGTGCGGCCTCCCTCTCCCGAGTTTTCCTCAATGTGCAGCGAACACGGACATGATGTGGGAGAGGGTCACGTGACACTGAGGGTCGCTGTGACGCAAGAGGAGCATTTGAGCACCACGATGTACGCGTTGGCCGAAGCCACGAGCAGCATGGATCTGCCTCCTTTCTCCCAGGTAATTGTTTTCTGGTGGGAACCCTTTTTTTTTGGGGGGGGGGGGTTGTGCTATGTCCTGATTTGGTGCTGAATATTGGAAAGTTATCAAAGAAATATGTTAATTAATGTGGTAGTCACTGTTTGATTAAATTGTTTCGAATAGCAAAAATAGATTCTTTTCTGTCTTCTGGTTTGTTTGTTTTTTGTTTTGCTTTTGCTTTTTAAAAAAGATATTGTTGAACGATTTACACTATGGTTTTCGCAGGTACTTGGAAACTTTGAAGTCAGCAACTTCGTGTCGGAGCCAGACGTGTGTTCTGGGGACACTGTGGTGTTCCGGGACGTGCCGGTGGTAGAACTGTACTTGAAGACTTACGCCTTTGTTGAGGAGATCAACTGCTACTTTGACGTAGAACAGGTCGGCTTCAGAGTGACCTATGACCCTCGCAATGAGGTCAGGACCTCCGTGAAGGCGAGCACTCTGGTGTTGTGTGTCACTGAGGAAATGATGGCAGCTTGCCCGGCCATGGTGATTGAAGGAAGGGAGAATCCGTACGCCGATGTCTCCTTCATCATCACACCAGACGTGCCTGTGAACGAGTTACCCCGCATTCCACCAACGGTAAACGGACTCACAAATAACACGAACGACACTCAGGGGGTGTCTGGTAACATGCAGCGACCAGCCAACCGCCCAATAAATCAGCCCTTCTTGACAGTAAACGCTTTTACGAGTCTGAAACAAATATCTGCGAAGAAGAGCAAAGAAATTCTGGATTTCCACACGGTTTGTTTCTCAGCGTCGACCCTAGGGCTTGTGCTTTCCCTCGCGTGTGACGTCAGAGCTAACTGGGCTACGATTGGCGCTCCCATGTTGCGCTACGTCAACAAACTTGCCGTCTCACTCCTCATGATTCTCCATCTTGTCGCCGTGAGAGGCAATGACGTCGAGGCCGTTGCCATGGGCGCTTCGTCTCACTTCCTGTGGGTCTTTTGGTCTCTGTCCTCATTTACTTTAGCCCTCTCGCAGCATAGAGTCCCCCACATGACAGACAACAAGCGAGGGAGATTTGGTGTCGTCAAAGTGGTCACCGCCCTTTTTCTCATATCCTTGTCTGTCGTCGTCGTCTGTCTCGCAGTCGATTTGGAGGAAGAATCTGACGATCAGATTGACTACTCACATCTCTCAGATCACGTGTTTTGGATGAAAACCAAGATGGCCGGCTATACTGCTATGATAGGCCTCAATGGTTTGGTACTTCTTGGGGCACTCGGTCTGTCATTTGTGGCCTTCGTGAAAGGTTGGCGGTCTGCAGGTAAGAATGCAGCAGGTGCTGAACGAGACGTGAAAACTTCAATGGCAACTGCAGCAGCAGCAACAACATCAGCATCAACAACAGCAGCTGCAGCATCAGCATCACCTTCCTCCTGTCTCCTCATCACAGCCCAGACTTTCACTTTCCTCTGCGCCGTAATCGACTACCTCCCAGACACGCCAGACCTCCTGTGGAAACTTCTCTTTTCTCTCTCCGCTGTTATCCTTGCTGTCGTCACTCTCATTTCCCCAGGGCTCCAACCGTCTGTGAAAATCACAACCGACTACCCTAACCTTGGCAATGGTTCAGTGGTAGCGCTTTCCACTGTCATCACCCAAGGGTCGGAGATCCGAGGTACAGAAAAGGGAAAAGAAGTGAAGGAAGACTTGAAAAACGGATCTAGTATCGGTCACGACAAAAAATCGACCTACGTTGCAGAGAACATGTACTCGACTCTGGACTAAGAGAGAACAACGGATGATATTACAATTATCTTAAAATGTCACTTCCTAAACGTCTTCACGCATAGCTACAGTCCTACTTGGATCACTCACATCTAAGACTGATGTTAGGTATGGAGATTCTGCATTTTAAATAATTTTACAATGTTAAAAGGGGTTTTTAACTCAGCATACAACACTTGCTAATAAGTATCCTCCTTTTATCTTCGCGTCATATATACAACAGATGCCCGACTATCCTTTGACTGCCAACCATGTTTTATTATATGCAGCCTACTTGATAATAAAAATTCCACGGTACAGTGGTCAAAATATCACAGGCCACAATCTTTCATCGACGGTTATTGACTCATTTTAAAAGATAGATCGGTAAGATGTATGTCATTAGAAAGACGAAGAGGGGGGGGGGGGCTCTTTGGAAATTGCCTTCCCGTTTGTTTACATAAGAAACAGAAGTGATTGCTAAGGACAAAAGTGGCCATGTAAGGCTTAGAAGTGAACCCAACCACATTAGCCAGAAATATTTTTCTGCCTTTTTTATATGAAAAATTTATTTTGAGTCGATGTAAACGATTTTTTTTTATGTCCAACAAATGAAGGATAACATAATTCTAATATTGGCAAAATAAGTGTTATTACTTGTACTTTAGTTACACATATATTTTTAGTCAAAGTACTTTTTTAATCTTATGCTTTCTATTTTCCTGAGCTGGTAGTACTATTGTACAACGCTGAATTATGTAGCAGGGCATGGACAGGTTATGGTCAAGACCCGCGCCGCCCAGGTTTGCAACTGTGGGGAGCCTACCCGCCATAACACCACAGACGCATCTGTTGTTAGTGGATACACGTGTCAGCAGCTCCTACATGATAGAGACACAGACAATCACAGAGAAAACGTGTACAAAAAGACGATATCGTCGAAACCATGGCAGAGAGAATGATCGTATTACTCGTAGGGGAAAGTCCTGAAATAGTAGAGGTTTAACGCCCCTATCAACACTATTAAGTTATTTAAGAGGCCTCTGTGTTTAACGTCTGTCGCCGAATGGACCTAAAATTCGTGTTATTAAGAGCCTTTCCAAAGGACATAGCGTCGGTCGAACCGAATTGAGGTTTGAACATCACAGAAAGAAACAAGTTTGTCAAAAGTCTTTACAAAATGTTTACATTTTAAGATGTTCATATAACGATGACAACTGTTCAAGAAGATTTTTATGAGGTTTCCTATCCGGTGGATGTTGCCCGCCTATACATTTTAGTTTAAGGAAATACTGTCTGGAATGTTCACCCCTGTACACTTTCGACGCACTTTGTAGAGAGAAGGATCAGACATGTTGAGGTGGAGGGGGGGAGGAACAATCCCACCTAGATCTAACAAGTTTTAAACATGCCTTATAATATGTTTTTTACAGTTATAGGCATGAAGTAACTGGAAACATCTTTTTTAGAAAAAGAAAATTTAGCAGGAACTATAACTCGTAGATCACACAACAGCAACAGAGGACAAATCAACAATGTTAAGCGCGTTCTGTCGATTTGACCGATCGCGCCACGCATTTTGTGGATCCATGGAATGCGCAACAATCCATCGAAAACTATGAAGACTATAATAATTTAGTAGGCATAAGCACAGCGTAAGTCATTTTCACTAGTAGTAGTAGTAGTAGTAGTAGTAGTAGTAGTAGTAGTAGTAGTAGTAGTATTCTATTTAATGTGATGAATGTCCTTCTTATAAAACCGTTATAGACTAGACAAGGAGGCCCATGTGGCTTCCTATCTGTTTTTTATGGTCTTTGAGACTTGTGATGGTTGGTGCCTGCTCAAGGCCTGACAACTGCCTGAAGGAGGAGGAATTAGATATAATAATATAATATGTAGGTAAGTTATTTAGTCATACGTATAATGTTAACTTCCGCTCAGTGCAAGGTCCACAATATTATATGGGCGCTCATCTGATGTTAACAGCTTATTGTATAGCAGAAAAACGAAACACTCGACACTGGGATTCGTTGCGCATTCTACGAATCCACAGAAAGCGCTGTGCGATCCACCGACCTAATACAGACAGACAGACAGACAGACAGACAGACAGACAGACAGACAGACAGACAGACAGAGAGGCAGTTTAGGAGAGAGAGGGAGGGAGAGAGAGAGAGAGAGAGAGAGACAGAGAGAGAGAGACAGAGACAGAGACAGAGAGAGACAGAGAGAGGCAGAGAGAGACAGAGAGACAGAGAAAACAGACAGACAGACAGACAGACCGACAGACAGACAAAAGTTTATTAAAGTCTTTCTGCCGGGAGGCTGCTTCTCTCACAGCCCAGGTAGGCCTTTACAGGCACGGTCGGAAGCACATCTAAATAATGTAAATTGAATCATTGGGAGCGTAAAAACGCATACATTTAAAAGTCCAACATGAAAACCTCTGACCTAACGGGACGAGATAGGCAGGGGGGGGGGTGACAGACAGAGAGAGAGAGAGAGAGAAAGAGAGAGAGAGAGAGAGAGAGAGAGAGAGAGAGAGAGCGAGAGAGAGAGAGAGGGGCAGAAAAGGGAGGAGATTGGAGGAGATAGAAGAGAAAGAAAGCAATATAACAACAGCAGCAACAGCAGCAACAGCAGCAACAGCAGCAACAGCAGCAACAGCAGCAACAGCAGCAACAAAATGCGTGTGTGGTGGGATTGAGTTAGGTAGGCAGTGGTGATAATGTGGGATCCAATTTTGCTAAAAATCTCATTTATGCGATTATGTCCCTTTATCGCGGACGCGGTAGACAATCAAATAGATTAGGTTTAGAGAAAATCGAAACCATGAAGTCGACTAAAAGGGCTTAGTTTTTTTTTACTTCAGGTGATCCCCTCACCTTTAACAAGATGCTTATTTATTTCTGGGGGTTTGCTTGTTTTGTTGTTTCTTTTTATTATCATTTTACTTGTTATCTCCCTTGGTCTGAAAAAGATGAAATAACTACGTAAATGAACTCGCTGAAACTAATAATTTACCGTGTTTTTCAAAACAAAAATGTCAGTCTGTGATTGTGTTAACCTGATATGGAAAGTTACACCTCTTCTCCGTTTCATTAAATATGTTCCTTTTAGCTCTTCTGTGCAGAATGCACAAATTACATACCCAAAAGTGTTTTATGGTTGTGATCTTCTTCTTCTGTTTTCTGAAGTGCTTTTTCCCCTCTTGAAATTATAATTTTCTTCATTATTTTCCCTCCAACTTGTTTCATTTACCTTACACGTTGTTATTCCATATAACACTACAGGATAATAATACTCGTAGTAAGTAGAATCATGCCATCTCCAACCCATTTTGAAAACGTTGTTAGGTAGTAGTTGTAGTGTACAGCGTTTAACTTAAAATGTTGGCTAAATTTCGAGTTATGTGACCCTTACCCCCCATGCAGCCCACCACGCTGTTGAAAATTAATCGTAAGGAGGGAGGTCGCGGAGAGGGCGCGGGGAAGGCGTGGGATGGTAAGATTCTCAACCACACCAAAGAAAAAAACTGTTCTTGCTCTCCCTCTCGACGTCATCAGAGAAGCAGGGCCTTCTTTACAACTTTCACTGAGCACCAAACGACATAAAAGTCAATAAAGCAAACAAACAAATAGAAAAAAATGAAAACTCAAATACACTTTTTAATAACAGAGATCAAGTTTTCCACCTTTATTTCGCTGTCGGTTTATCTTTCATTTCTTGTCTTTATATATGTGTTAACATACTTGAACATGTTTCTGCTTGCACTCCGACATACTTGCCAGACTGCATATGTTTATTTTGTACACTCACAAGTACAGACAATTCTATTCTCTGCATAGTTATTATCAGTCAATATATACAATCAGATCGCATAATTTCAACAGCGAATATAGTGATCTTCAAACAGTATTATATGAATATTAAAGTTTTTCACAACATTTGTAACCTCCACAAAAATGTCACACGTACTGAAATGTAAATTGAGCGGACAAGTGCAACAAAAACCCTTGACGTCTCGACCAGTGCTCGCTAACCACAAGAAGGTCTCCAAAACAAAATGAACGTGGTGTTTTATTTTGTTGAAATAAAGTGTGGTGAAACTGGACAAAAACAAAGAAAGTGCTACTTGGGATGAAGGAATTTTGTTACGAAGACTCGGAATGACTAACTGGGGCGGAGGCGGTGAGAGCACTGGCCAAGGCAAATTAACATTGTATAGATATTCCTTGTGTGATAGGCTTCAATACTTCATGAACATGCGTATCATTTCTTTTAATCATCCTGAGCGCAGTACAAACAATTGTCTTTTACAATATACATTTGTATAAATATAGGCTTACAGAATCATTTAATACGGAATGTCTCACTTAGAGGGGGAAAAAATATTAGCACCCACAGGTTTCCTTTTTTAGGGAGGAGGATGACAGCTCATATTTTTATTCTTTTTTGATGAACAAAATAACCATATTATTATTGCCAACGGACCAATGTCAATAAAAATCTGCTTGGCAAACAGTGGTTAATTCGCTTCTGGTCGGAACAGTGAATAATAACCCAGATCTCGTGAATTTAGAACGTAAACCTGGGAAAATAATATTTAGAAAGTGATGAAGTCCAGAAAACGGAGGGAACGTATGTACAGTTTTCAAAACCTTTGATAAGTTCTGAACGCTTTCCCAAATTAAATGAATCAGGCAGCTGTAGGCAGCAAAACGTATTGAGCGAGTATGGAATGTTGTTTCACTTCAGAAGAGATATTTCAGAATCTGAAAGCTGTTGTGTATAATAATAATTTTCTCATTCGAACACAGAGGTGAAGATTTTTATTTATTTTTT